GCGCGGTCGCGCGGGGGGGAACCGCTGTCGGCGCCCCCCCCCAGCAAGCCGCGGAGGACCGGGCGGGGGGACCGCCCAGATGCGCCGCGGTCCTGCCGCCCGGGTCCTCCGTGGCTTTGCTCTGCGTCTCCCTGGTCTGCTGGGGGTCCTCCCCCAGCAGACCAGGGAGACGCGGAGCAGCTTTTCTCGCCCCGGAGGACACGGGCGGTGGGACTGCGGCGTGTCTGGGCGGTCCTGCCGCCCAGGTCCTCCAGGGCGAGAAAAGCCCCGTTCGTAAGTGCGGATCTGCGTAACCTGGGGACTGCCTGTATATAAACTGTATGGATCTAAAATGTCAGTTAACCCACTGCATGGATCTGTATAATCTTTACTCCGTAAGAACATAAGAACGGCCATGTGGGGTCAAACCAAAGGTCCACCTAGCCCACTGTCTTCCAACAGTGGCCAATGTCGGATACTTCAGATGGAATGAACAGAATAGATTTTCATCGAGTGATTCAATACCTGTCCGCCATTCCCAGCTTCAGGAAAACAAAGCAAAGAAGAAGCCAGCAGGTGTTTATGCTGTTTCAACATTCATTGCACTTATGGGAGGGGGGAAAGGGCCAGGGCAGGAAGGTAAGAAGAGGGACTAGAAAGGGAAACAATGTCAATATACAGGATTAGTGAATATCCTAATGGAATTCAAATGTAATGGTTTTGGTACTGTTTTACTTTCACATGAATGCTGTCCAAAATGTTTCTTAGAGTTCTGATTACAAGACTTTTCCAGTTCTTTGTGAAACAAATTCAGTGTTACATTTAACACTGTTGGACATTTCTTTTTTGTTCCTTAATTATGACCCATCCATCATAAAAAAAAAAAAATACAAATTGGATATAAATATTGGGCACTACCTCAATTAATTAAGATGACTGTTTTCAAATGCTTAAATTAGTTTTGGTTAAGCCAATAGGAAAACTATTTCCCTGTCTTCTGTTGGCATATTTTAGTAGGGAGTGGTTGATTTTTAGATTCTGAATCCTTGAAATACTGACCTGTCTCATGATGAATGTCATCAACCACAGACTCCTCTGTCTAGACTTTCTGGAACTAGGGATTGCTGGAGTTAATGATGAAGGTGAAAATGACTCCGCTTAAAAACGAAACTAAAGAGTTGTCAGGATATTTTGTATTGGATGTTTATTCTGTTACCTGGTTGATTGCTTTTTATAATGTTTATTAATTAAAATTGGTACTGCAAAATTCTGTTTATAGAGCATCTGGAACAAAATATCTTTGTTAGCTCCCTTAACTTGTGCCAAAGAGCTGATATCTGATCATCCTTAAAGTGTAATTCCTTTGAATGCCATTTCTTAAGCTAATTAATGTCATAAAGGATAAAAGTGTTCATATTTTATAATCAATCTTTCTTGTTTAGACTGAGCCTTAGAGATTTGGTTTGTAATAAAAACTATCTGGACTGTAGCAGGTGTATGTTATTCAGCAAATGTATTGGGAAGGGATACCAGATTAGCAGGATTCCCTCCTTTCAAATGGACACTGCCAGATCCAATTTACAAGCCAGCTGTTTCTTATCAATTCATTTTGCCTTTCAGAGCTGGACTTCACATCTGTTTTGGTGCTGCTATTTCTGTAACAGATTGGATAGGAAGAGTGGTGCAGCAAGTGGTGTAATGTATTGCTGCCATAGGGGAAACTCCACTGCCTTCTTTTTTGGACCAGATCCTTGAGGAAAGACCCAGAATAGAAGCAGGAGAAAAAGGGTGGATGGAAAAACCTTGACACCCAGGAAAGAGGAGGAGGAGAGAGAGCTCCAGGAGGCGGATGATAGAAAGGAAGAGGACGAGGGAGACGGTGGAGTATGCGAGAGGGTGGGAGGGAGAGGATGACGGAGTGGAGAGTAGAATAGCGCTGAGAAGGATGCAGAGGGACGGAGATGCGTATTTTGCTGCATGACTCCAGTGCGTCAGCAGCGACTAGGGAGCTGGAGCGCGTCACAGTCTCTCCCCAAATCTTAACGGGTACTGCAGTGCTCCCGCTAGAACGCAGGCACATGCAGGCTCTGGAAGCAGATCCCCGGCAGACTCTTATACTAGGCTCCGGTACGGACGCGGCAAGGTCGGCTAGAGCTCCAAGGTAATCGGACAGCATCATTTCCTAGGCTCTGACCAAGACCAGAGCTAACAGCTGGGGAGAAGAGAGCACCAGCCTCCCCAGGAAGCACCTTACAAAGGAGACTCTGACCTCGTCCCAGTAGCAGCCGGGCTGGCCGGTCAGCACCATGCACTAGGCTCCAACAGCGATCTGAGTGGATCCTGCGCGGCATCATGCACTAGGCTACACCGCAGCGCCAGCAGAGCGGTGGGGCCGCTGAGCTTCGCGGAAGAGCCAGCAGCTGCCGCCGGAACAGAGCGTGCTGGGCAGTACCATGCATTAGGCTCCGGCACAGCCCTAGCAGCAGCCGCCCCGCAGATCCCAGTCGCCCTCTCGCCCCTCCATGGATAAGGCGACGTCGCTGCACACTTCAGTGCCCACGCCGCCTCCTCGGCTCTATCTGCCTCGGAACTTCAGCTGCCGCGCCTGGCCCCATGGCAGGCC